CGGCGGGGCAGCGGGGAGCTCCTGCAGCCGGGGAGGAGCGGCCGGCCTGGGCCTCGCAGGCGCCGCGCTGAGGGCCGCCCTCCTGCCGCCTCGCAGGCCGCCTGCCCGGGCGCAGGATGACCCCGACGCAGTGGGACTTCCCGGTAGAGCTATGCTGCCGGCCCATGGCGTTTGTCACCCTCACCGGCTTGGACGTGGTGTACAACGCCGTGCACCGGGCCGTGTGGGACGCCTTCTGCGCCAACCGGAGGGCCGACCGCGTCCCCATCTCCTTCAAAGTGCTCCCCGGCGACCACGAGTACCCCAAGTGCAGGACGAAGGTAGCGAGCGGCGTGTGCCCCGGCTGCTCCCCGTCCTGGCGGGCCCGGCCCCTCACGGGGTTCAGGCCTCTGCCCGTGCAGCAAAAGCCAGCGGCAGGCCCCGGGGGCGGGGTGGGGAGGATGCGGGAGCTGGTGGCTCCCCGAGGGGAAGGGCCGTAGCAAGGGGCTGGGCTGAGCAGCACTCGCACGGCTGAACGCTCAGCCAGGATTCTGCTGTCTCTTCCCCCGCTGTCGGAGGCGAAGCGTGGGAGCTTGAAGCCCGAGAAAAATTGTCAGGGCAAAGGGGAAGCCAGGGGTATTGTGACAGAGTGCTATGGCTGCATAGGAAACCGGGGTGCCTTAGCTTGTAAGCCAGAAGCAGGGAAAGCCAATATGATTTACTTTTTGAAGTACTTGCTGTTCTTTTACTCAGCGTTAAGGTGTGCTTGTGAAGTTTGAGCTTTAATGAAACCCAAAGTTTAACTCTGGAGAAACTAGATATTTGAAATTGGTGTATTCTGAAAAAAACTTAAAGCCTTTAACTAAATGAAATGCAGCAGAAAGAATATCTCCGCTCTACTTTCTGCTTCTCCGTGGCACTTAAGAAGCAATGTCAATGGGTTTAACCCTTGGAAAATGACATAATTCTGTGATGCTGGCAAAGAATAAGAATCCAAACTGGTTTCTCCTGGCTCCGTTTGAGACTCTGGTTTTAAATCGAACCTGATATTTCATGAAAGTGTGTGAAACGTGCTTCTGAACTTGACCCTTTTCTCCAGTCTACCTGGAATCTGTTGTTCTTTGTTGCTGATATCTCAGACGTCAACCCCTGATGCTAGGTAACGAGGGATATGCCTTATTCGATAGGAAGCAAAGGCTTGGTGGGAAGAGTGTTAAAGGAAAGATGACAAACGTATTCTCAAGTGACAAGAATGTAGAGGCAATTCCCTTTCTCCTGGTGTAAATGCCCATAAATGGATTTGGTAGCTTGCTTTAATAACCTCAATATTTTCAGAGGACATCCTATGAATGGTATATTCCAAAAGGAATCCTGAAGACTGGTTGGATGAACAAACACCTGAATTTGGTTCCAGCACTTGTGGTGGTGTTCTATGAACTAGACTGGGATGAGCCACAATGGAAAGAAAAACAGTCGGAATGCGCTACTCGAGTTGAAATTGTCAGGTAGAGGTTTTTTTACTTGGTTCATAATGTACTACAAGCTAACGGTAAGTGTGAAATGCAGAATCCTTTTTGCATTCTAAAACATATAAATATTTTTTGTTCTTAGATACAAAGTAAGGGGAACTTGGAACTTTGCTTTTTAACATACAACTGACAGCAATGAAACGTTTTTTTAATGGTTTATTTGTAAAAGTTACTTAAGTAAAAACAGCCCCTGAAGCTTTGCTTGCTAAACTCAGCACAATTATTCTATCCCATCTGAACAAAAAAGGGAACACAGCATTCTGTGGATGGTGCAGCATATTATGGTGTTTGGTGTTTTTACCCTATATAACATTCTTTCAGTGCTTCCATCTAGACTGAAATCTCATTTTGTTCTGATTATTCAGAAATAAGAAGGGAAATCCTGATGCTGTGCCATGTTGTTTTTTATTTTAGGCAAAGTTTGCAGGGAAGAAATACGAAAGTTGCTGTGGTTTTGATTCAGAAGAAAACACCATTACCTCCAGGTACTGGAAACCTCTGTGCATAGTTGTGATCTCATTTTTTCAGAAGGCCTGATGGACTGAGCTGACTATCATTTGTCACGTTATTTGCAGTTTTTAATCTAATGTTATCTACATACACTAAATACATTGTGGCTGCAGGAAGGTGTGCAGATGGAAAGAATGCTTAGGGCAGTTGACCCTAAACATTTGATACTTTTGTCCTTAACTACTTCCTTTTAAGTCCAAGTCCATCTTTTGATACACAGTATCAAAAATGGTTTGCTAGTATAATATATGTGACATGCCTCCTTGTAAGCAAGTTGCATTTTAAACCTTGCTTGAGAACAAGAAAAGCTGTAAAAGCAATGAGAACTTAGAGGAAGGGCATTTGGTACCTGCAGAAGCCTTTCAGTTTATCTCAGTTTTAATCAATAAAATTTTGGAGTCAAGTGGAGGTGTGAAACGTGATACATTTTAACCTTATGTTTCTGTAGAGCTGCTGCTTCAGCTGTAGCTGCATACCTTCTAGTGCCTGGCAAACCATTTTTTTATTTTTTGTTTTTGTTTTTTCTCTGTCTGCTATATATGTTTGTCTTCTCTGGATGATATTGTATTTCTCAAGACACGGGATATTTAATTCTGTGAGAGAGGTGAAAAACTTATGTCATGCTTGTGGGTTGTTGCTAGCTAAGCCACTCCTAGAAACTTTATGCAGTGTGTTCTGCTGGATGAAGCATTTAGTACTCTGAAAACAAAGTAAGAAAGAGTGTGGTCTCAGTTTTATCTGTAATAGATTTTTCCATACCTTGTCAAGCTTTTAGAGCTAGTTTGACACTGCAGCACTGCATACTACTTACTTGCGCTTTCCTTGACTTCACTAGGGGAAGATGTTATTGCATCAGAGAGGGCAGCAGCTTTATGTAATGCTTGTGACCTTTCTGGAAAATCTCTCTTTGTACTTCCACACACTGATCATCTTGTTGGTTATATTATAAGGTAAGTGACTGTAAAACACTGGTTTGTTCTGTTTGTTAATCAGTGTTTTGCTCTGTTTGCTGATCATGTGTTGGTTTACATGACACCAGGCCTGCTGGCAACAGATGAGGTACACCTGTCTCAAAGGGGGAAAAAGGATCTTTGCACAGGAGTTAGCAGGGCTCATTGAAAGAGCTTTAAACTAGATTTGAAGGAGGAAAGGGATAAAACCAGGCTCACTAGAGATAAGCCTGGGGGCAGCACGCCAGTGTTTCAGGGACAATGTGCTAGCGAGGTCCGTCGGTCTGCCACCTCAGTGGAGGTAGGGGATGGAGATCCATGTGGCAGCAAAGATGCAAGGGTTATTGATGCATTAGAAACCATGGAAGCACCTGAGAATGGTCATGTAGGAATTAGGGCTTCTCCCCCAAAAAGGTGGTGGGATCAATAGCCTAACTGAAGTGCATCTACACCAATGCATGCAGCATGGGCAGCTAACAGAAGGAGCTGGAAGCCATTGTGCAGCAGGAAAACTATGACATAGTTGCCATCATGGAAACATGGTGGGATGACTCGCACAAGTGGAGTGCTGCAATGGGTGGCTATAAAATCTTCAGAAGGAATAGGCAAGGAAGGAGAGGTGGTGGGGTAGCCTTGTATGTTAGGGAGTGTTTTGATTGTCTAGAGCTTAATGACGGTGATGATCGGGTTGAATGTTTATGGGTAAGAATCAAGGGGGAAGCCAACAAGGCAGATATCACAGTGGGAGTCTGTTGTAGACCACCCAACCAGCATGAAGAGGCAGACAAAATATTCTATAAGCAGCTGGGAGAAGTCTCACAATTGCTAGCCATTGTTCTTGTGGGGGACTTCAACTTGCCAGATGTCTGCTGAAAATAAAATGCAGCAGAGAGGAAACAGTCTAGGAAGTTCCTGGAGTGTGTGGAAGATAACTTCCTGACACAGCTGGTGAGTGAGCCAACCAGGGAAGGTGTCCCACTGGACCTGTTGTTTGTGGACAGAAGAGGAGTTGTGGGTGATGTGATGGTTTGAGGCAGTCTTGGGCGTAGCGATCACAAAATGATAGAGTTTCTGATTCTTGGAGAAGTAAGGGTTGGGGTTGGCAGAACTGCCACC